TGTCCGTGGAGCTGGGCCGGGGCTGGGCCGGGGCTGGGGCGGGAGGGGCCCCGGCAGGTGCAGCCCATTTCTGCCAGACACGCACCTGGCTGTAGCTTAGGGCTGAGACGGCTAGCTTCGCACCACCCCTCCCCTGCTGTGGCTTGGAGTCAGGGAGACACCGCCCACAACGTGGGTGTCACAGGGCCTCGGGCGGGACACACAGATACCGCAGCCCACCTTCCCCATGTCCTTGAGGTGCCCCGGCCCCGGTTCTAGGCGCTGGGGCACCGGGCTGGTCGGACGTGAGCTGCCAAGGGGCTGGTCGACGGACGCCGGCACCTTCATGGGGCCGTGCGCACGGGGCCGGGAGCCTCCCCAGGCCATGCCAAGCTGGGTGCACGAGTTTTGCAGCTGTCCGTGACAGGTCTCTTCAGGGACAGTTGTCAACCCCACCGGGCACCTGCCGCCAGCGCCCTGCCTCTGAACCAGCCCCTGGATGCCGACATGATATCTTTAAAGTAACACAGAAGTTTTTATTTTATTAAGAAGCATAGCCTACTTAGACATAAGACACATATAAAAAGAGTTTAATTTCACAGCCCCTGAGAAGGGAGCGCCTCCAGCCTTATTCCTCACCACCCAGATCAATGTGGTTCCGGACACTTCTCTTCTCTTTTTCTTTTGAGTCGGAGTCTCACTCTGTCGCCCAGACCGGAGTGGAATGGCCGCTCCCGGCCACCGCAGCCTCGACCCGCTGGGCTCCGGCGATCCTGCCACCTCAGCCTTCTGAGTAGCCGGAACCACAGATGTGCACTACCACGCCCGGCTAATTTTTTGATTTATTGTAGAGATGAGGTCTCGCCTGCCCAGGCGGGTCTCGAACCCGCGGGCTCAGGCAATCCACTCACTTCAGCCTCCCAAGGCACGGGATGACAGGCTGAGCCACCGAGCCAAGCTTTCTTTTCTTTCCTTTTGCTTTTTTACATGTCACACAGGTCACCTTAAAGACCCTGCAAACACCGCTGTTTGTAAATGCGTGTGAAGCGGCCCCCACCACTGTCCTCCCGGCCGTTCCTTTTCCAGGTCTTGGAGAGGAAACACCTTCCTCTGAGGGCCAAAGCCTTGGAATAAGGAATTTCCACGTGCCCGGCTTCGCACGCCACATGGCTGTCAGGGTGCCGTCCTCGGTGTCTCACCTGCCGCCTGAACGCAAAACACACACGTCCAGGAACAGGCTGGACATGGAATAGGCGATGCCCACTCTCGGGAGAGAAAGGCGGGGTGTGTCCTCCCCCATCCCGGGAGCCAGCAGAGCCCCCAGGAGCAGGAAGCCAGCCAGCGCCCCGAGGGAGGGCTTCTGAGTCTGTGATGGGGTGGAAGGGGCGTCTGTCGGTCCGGGGTGTTGACTCGAGAGGTGGACCCAGCCCCGCCCCTCCCCGTCCCCGTGGGCATCGCCTCTGGCACGGGTCCTGATGTCCCCACCCGCGACGGCCTCACCCAGCTTCCTCAGAGCCACGACCAGCCAAGTTCCGCCCACACTCGGCCTCTCCCCTCGGTCCTGGCCAGGAGGGGATTTTCAGCACCTAATCCGCTTCCTGCCGTTGAGCGGTCTGAGCCTGAGCAACTGGAAACCCCCCTTTCCTCATCAGTCCCATGTCGTGTCTGACCCCGGAAGCCTGGAAAAATAAAAGACGGTGTCTTGTCACTTGCGAAGTCCAAGCCCTTGTCCCGAGCGTGTGTGATTTCTGGGGCCAGGCCCTTCCTCAAGGCTGCTTGCGGGGGGTGCTGGGTGTGTGCAGAGGGGCCAGGCCCTGGGGAGGGACTGAGTGTCTGTGACAGGGACAGGGGAGGACGTCCCTCCTGGGGCGGGAGCCTTTGTCAGCCCTCCCCAAGGGCCAGACGCTGGGAGCTGGTGACAGAGGTGACCGAGACCTGATGTCCATCCGCCTGCCCCCTCAGCTGGGGAGTCGGGGATGAGACGGGCAGCTGCTCCGCAGAGCAGGCCCGAGGGAGGCCCCGATTCACCCTGAGGGCAGGGGTTCTTTCTAGAGACGGGGCTGCCCGGGCCAAGTCTTGGCAGATGGGAGCTATTCTGAGAAGACGCTGCCTTCCAGGCAGATGGAACAGCAGGAACGGACGCACGGAGGCTGGAAACAGCCTCCCTCCTTCTGCCGTGAGAGCTTGGGTAGCTGGTTACCGCTGAGCGCAGGGCTGAGGAAAGGGTTGGAAAGGAGCCGGTACCAGCGGGGCTCCCACATGGGAGGAGGGGACCAGCCTGGGATTAAACGCCTCACACTTGCTCATCTTTTTCCAGCGACGTGGCTGGTCCTTGGGAACTCTGAGTTTCTCTCCCCCAAAGCCTGTCTGCACACACAACCCGCCACCACCGTCTACACAGTTGTGCGGTCAGAAACCGGGTTCTCCTCGGTTCTCATCCTCGGTTCCCAGAGAGGACCTCCAGCAAGTCCTGGTGGTACCACTGTTAGCACACACAACAGGTGGGCTCAGTCGCTGGGCGGGAGACAGTCCAGGGACCACAACCAACGAGGATGCTACAAGGGAATTTTTGTTGCCGTTGTCTCACTCTGTCGCTTAGGCTGCAGTGCAGTGGCACGATCACCGCTCACTGCGGCCTTGACCTCTTGGGCTCCAGTGATCCTCCCACCTCAGCCTCCCAAAGAACGGGGACTACAGGTGTGAGCCGCCATGCCTGGCTAATTTAGAATTTTTTTTTTTTTTTTTGTAGAGACAAGGTCTCGGTCTATTGCCCAGGCTGGTCTTGAACTCCTGGGCTCAAGCGATCCTCCTGCCTCAGCCTCCCAAAGTGTTGGAATGACAGGCATGGACCACTGAGCCCAGCCAACAAGAGATTTTTTTTTTTTTTACTTGCAATAAGTAAAGAGGACACTAGGAACGGTTCCCCAAAGTCGTGTCTTCTCCAACAAAGGGGAAGACAGGGTTTTCCTTAAAATGCTTGGCTGAGTCATTATAGGTGGAGAAGCCAAGGCAGAACAGGTGCAGCCGATCATGCTTCTACATGTGCTCTGTGTATGGAACATGGCAGATGAGTGCCTCCCCGGGCGGGATTTCTGGCTTGGTCCTAAGGGAAGCCCCAGCCTTCACGTCCAACGCAGGCACCTCTGGGTCCAGCCTGCTCTTGTTTGGCTGGGGCTGGGCTTTTTTTCCTGGAACTTTTCTAAAACGACAAGAACTGGGGGTACAGTCGTTTCGAGTGGGTGCTTTTTCACTGTGTGTACCCCCAATCCCGGGGATCCCACCATCCGAGCATCGGCCTACACCCCTCCATTTGCACCGGTGCCATTGTGGAATTATCCTGACCAGGGCCTCTGAGAGCCATCACTTCATCTACTCTGACCGATGACCCTGGACACGGGGGTGCACCTGGCATGACCCCAGTGACCCGGATATGGGGTGACCCCGGCGGCACTCCAGAAGCCCTCCCCTCTTGCATGTAGGCATTCCCCGGTGGCTCATTCCACTCTGGCCCCTGGGCAAGCCGTGTCTACCCAAGAGCCAGAGTGACGCTTGGAGAACGTCACTCAGATCGTGCCAAGCCCCCACGACCTTGCGTGGCCTGGAGAGTCAGGCGTTATATGGTCCCGTCGCCATTCCCCGGGGATCCCATGCCTGTTCCCAGGGACACCCTGTTTAGAGAGAGAGAGAGAGAGAGATCCACAGAGATCCTGGAGGCATCAGTGCTTCTAGACTGCACTGTCCAGCCACACTTCCTGCAGTGACAGGGACGTCCAGCATCTGTGTTGTCCCCTGCAGTCATGGGCGCGTGACGTGCAGCTAGTTTGAGTGGGACGCTGGATTTTTAGTATGACTCACTTAAAGTTAAATAGCTCTAGGCTCAGTGGCTCAGCCTGTCATCCCAGCACTTTGGGAGGCCAAGGGGAGTGGATTGCCTGAGCCTGCGGGTTCGAGACACACTCGGGCAACTTGACCAGACCTCGTCTCTTCAATAAATCAAAAATTAGCCGGGTGTGGTAGTGCACGCCTGTAGTTCCGGCTACTTGGAAGGCTGAGGCGGAAGGATCGCCGGAGCCCAGCAGGTCGAGGCTGCGGTGGCCGGGAGCGTGCCACTGCACTCCAGTCTGGGTGACAGAAGGAGACTCCAACTCAAAAAAAAAAGTTAAATAGTCCTGTGGCTGCGTCTTAGACGGTGCAGCACTTGAGGAGGGGATCTTCTGTCCCGCCCTGGAGATGGACACCCGTGGGAGGCTTGGGCTGGCACTCTAGCTTGGCGATAAGCATTCGTCCAGCACCTGGCCCGGAGGGTAGATTTAGAGAATGCTTGCTGATTCTCTGTGGGCGCCTGGCACTGCCCCGGGTGTGGGGCATGCAGGGCACGGCTCTACCCCCAGGCTCATGTCTGCCATGTAACTTCAGCGCCCAGAGTATAAGAACCTGCCCAGTGTGGCTCCATCTTCCACACCAGTCTCAGCGTCCGCCAACCTTCCAAATCAGCATCGGCCTGGGCCTGTGTCGGGAACCCCCAGGACCGGTGGGCCAGGGAGACATCAGAGCCCAAAGATCTCTGTATGAGTCCATTTTACATGGCTATAAAAATTACCTGAGACTGGGCAATTTATAAAGAAAAGGGATATATTGGCTCTGGCTCTGCTGGCTGTAGAAAGCACAGTGTCGCATCAGCTCCTGGTGAGGTCTCTGGAAGCTTGGTGTGTCACATGGCAAGAGACGAGAAGCGCCAGGTTCTTGAAACAGCCAGCTGGCTGGGCTCGGCGGCTCAGCCTGTCATCCCGCGCCTTTGGGAGACCAAGGTGAGTGAATTGCCCAAGCCCGCGGGTTCGCGACCGCCTGGGCAACTTGGTGAGACCTCATCTCTACAATAAATCAAAAAATCAGCCGGGCGTGGTAGCGCACGCCTGTAGTTCCAGCTACTCGGAAGGCTGAGGCGGAAGGATCGCCGGAGCCCAGCAGGTCGAGGCTGCGGTGGCCGGGA